CTCTTTCCAGCTCAGTCTCACCCTCCTTCCATGCCCTGGAGTCCACACATTTTTCTTTGCTTAGGGTGCATAGGCCCTGCCAATGTGAATTTTTAATATTGGCCAAGGTCCTCTGTTAGGCTTAGGCCAAATCAATTGATCAGATGAGCTCTAGAGTGGGAGGAGAATGTGTCAGGAATAGGCTGGGTAGGAATGGCAGAGAAGGGAGATACGGGCCTCCAGGTACCCAGGAAGCCAAGGTGGGGAGGGGACAGGAGGAGGATAGGGCACAGATGGGGGAGGGAACACGGGCCACAGATGAACTTCCCTAACCACACACTGGTGCTTCAGAGGCCCTCAGTGTGGACAACTCACAAGACACTGGATGTTACACTCTCCAGGTTACCCAGCACGTACCAGCCTGTGTTTAATCTTCACTTTGGATTTAAGGCCAAAGAAGTGGCTGGAGCCCTCCTGAACGCCACCACTATAACCTTGGAGTGTACTTTGGAATTAGTCAAGGAGAGCTCTGTTAGCTCCCAGGGAGAGCATTACTTCTCTCTGAGTCAAAGTCTGTGGTCTGACCCTGCCCTGTCCACAACCAGCTGTGTGCTGGGCCAAGATCTCCGAATCTCAGTTTAGGTTAACCTACTTTTATCGAGCATTTACTTATGTGGTAGGGCCAGGAGAGGGTAGAGTGAATCCACAGGTGAGTGGGTCACTGTCCTTTCTATTCTGTTATTTGTGAAATCTGACAGTGTCTAACAGAGGTAGCAGGCAATGTTCCATCAACTAAATAGCCCAACAGAAATGTCAGCACTTGTCTCAGTAATGGACCTAAGTGGGGTTTCCTATTTAGTTCTTTGAGATCTAAGCAAATATTCTAGTATAATATAATCAATGTTAGTGGTCATCATTTTCCTTCTACACGTTATGTATTTTTTTCAACCCCTAGCATGCCTGGGAACTTGAGGAAGTTGCGTGCAGTGGCTTGTCCAATAGTCACATTTTCTAGTTTCTGTATTTGATGCTTTGGTATCGAGGCCTTGCTGACTCTGCAGGGGCTGCCCCTCCCAAGCCCAGCCAATTCCTAGAGATAGTGAGCCACTCTCCTTTCCTATGAAAACCAACCCATCAGAGTACATGCCCCAGCCACCTCCTCCTCCAGTCCCCTTCCTCACTCAACCCAGACAGCACCGGGTAACTAGGGGCAGCCCCTGTGTCCCTGACTCCCCTGAACTTTTTCAAACTTGTCAATCCCAAGCCTGCCCACCCTCCCGGCTGTGTCTCTTGTCCCTGGTGTCTGTGTGGATGAACCTGTCTTGGCATGACTGTCATTTCCATGCTTATGTGTTTTACCATGTTTGATTAAAATGACTCTCAGGTGCCCTCAAGACAGTTGGTACATGGTGCACGGCATCTGATGGCCCAGGGACAGATACCATGTACCAACAGAGTGCCAGGAGGCACACGTGGGCCTGTGACTTGTATCTATCTGTTTTATTTTGACATAGATGTGTGAAAGGCAGCAAGGTTAGGGTGGAGGGTGTGGGTTCCTAGTTGGAGGCCCGAGTTGAATGTGGACCCTGCACTTCCCAACACATGCATTAGATAGAACCCTTTTACATGTCAATTTCCTCCTCTGGAAAATGGAATGATGACCTCAGGGCTAACTCATCAGGCTGTTGCGAGGATTAAGTGAGATGACCAGAGCAAAGACGGAGCCCAGGGCTGGGACTTAGAAAACACTCCGAAGGTGATCTATTTTTGTTAGTGGGTTGTTCAATGTTTACTGAGAAATAAATCTATAAAGTCGAATTTGAATATTTGATTTTTTGTTTTTTAATCAGAGTCTTGCTCTGTTGTCCTGGTTGCAGTTGGAGTACTGTGCTATTATCATCATGGCTCACAGCAACCTCAAACTCCTGGGCTCAAGCGATTCTCTCGCCTCAACCTCCCAAGTAGGAATTTTTTTTATATTATAATAAACCATATATCTTGTAGGTCAAAAGTGGTTGAACATTGGCAATTTCACAGGGTTTAACCTTAGAAATTAATTTGTTTCTCTGAGATTTTTTGCTGTCTGTTTTAATCCACGTTAGAATGATACGTTTGTGTGTTTCACGGTTACATTGGGAGACCCTTGTCTCAAGAAAGCCCCTCTAACTTTGGCTTCTACAACAGGCTCTGGAGAGATACACTGCCGTCCTGGTTTTAAATTTTCCTCTTTCAATGCTGTGCACTGATGGCAGTAACAGTTTCAAAAAACAAATCACACCTAATTTCCACACATTCTTTCAGGCAAACAAACACTATCTCAACTTGAAGTGAAAATAAAGCCTTGTAGGGTTAAAAAAAAAGAAAAACCCAAGTATGCAGGATGAAGCCTGTTTCCTTGAAAGCCTCCAAGATGTGAGAAATGACAGGACACTTCAGAGTGATATTTATCAGCACCTTAATCGGATCCTGGAAATGTAAATTCACAAAGGACACAGCGGCTGCTCACCAGCCAATCACAGCTTAGTTCCTTTAAGCGTGTGCATTGTTGTCATGGGGACACGGGAAAGCAGCATCCCATAATTCCTACAGTCTTGGCACTCTGGGGGGCTAGAGTACTTCTGCCCTTTGCCCTCCGTGCGTGTGGCCACTTAGAATGTGCTGCTATCCCAGCAGCTGCCATTATGACCACAACATGTGCATTTAAAGAAAATTCTGGTAAAAGACAATAAAGGGGACTTGTTAAACATGTAAAGTTTATCATCTTAACCCTTTTTAAGTGGTGTCCAATGGTGTCAAGTTCATTCACGTTGTTGTGCAACCATCATCCTTTCATCTTGCAAAACCTGCACTTACCAAACACTTTCTATTTCCCCCTCCCAGTCCCTGGAAACTACCATTCTACTCACTGCACCTACACAGTTGACTACTCTAGGTACTTCGTGTCAGTGAAGTCATATAATATTTGCCTTTTTGTGACTATTTTAGTTCACTTAGGATAATATCCTCAAAGTTCTCCCACGTTGTGGCCTGTGTCGGAACGTCCTTTCTTTGCAAGTCTGAATACTATTCCAATAAACACATATATCTCAGCTTCTTCATCCACTCATCCACTCATGGATCCCTCCGTGGCTTCCACCTTAGTAATGTTGCTGCTGGTGCACAAATAGCTCTTCAAGCCCTGCTCTCCCTTCTTTTGAGTATATAACCAGAAGTGGAATTGCCGGATCCTAGGGTCGTTCTATGTTTAAGTTTTTGAAGAACCCGCACATGCATTTTAAGCAAATTTTAAATCACTGTTTATACTAACTCAGTGGTGAGGCTGCCTGGAAGCGGTGCCACATTAGTGCTATGGAACGGCATCTGGTATCATGTCAGGATGGTGTTTCTTGAAGTGCATGAGGAATCAGAACCCTACAGTCCTTCCCCACTGCACATCCCTGGGCCCCACTCTCACATCCCCTGAACTACAATTTTTAGGGCATTCTAAAAAGCTGTCCCAGCCAAAGAGCCACCATACTAGGATTGGTATAATTGGGTGTTTTTGACAAGATGCCTCTTAGGTCAGTTTCTTTATTTGAGTAACCCAAGAAGCTACCTTTACCTCTCGGCATGGTTCATCTCCGGAAGTTTGGGCAAGGCTTTTAGACAAGTAGGAGGAGGCCCGGCTCCTTGGCTTCATCTTTCTTTGCACAGATTTGGGGGCTCACCTGGGAATGCAGACCATCCACCTCTTCCAAATGCATTCACACCTTGAACTCTGGATGGCTGGGTTCCCAGAAGGGCCTCCCAGTCAGCCACGGAGTCCCCCATCCAGGCAAGAGCCCTGGACACTGGGCCTTAAAATCACTCTGGCAGGACCACACTGTTTAGCATCTAGTTGGTGCCTTTTAAACCAAGCATGTACATTTATGTAAGTAACACAAAAACTCAGGGATCATCTGAGTTCAACAGAAAATTCTGTTTTGCCTAAGCATTAGAACTCAGTGCCATTGCTTTGGCTGGTTCTAAGGAAACTCTGGGACCAATCTGCCCAGGCTAAGGGATCCGTCCTGGGTCCAGAGCTGAACAACAGTAAGGGACGCAGCAGAAGTTAGAGCTGTCATCGTGCTTTCCCCGAGGCTCCCCCTCATTGCTGCAGCTCATCTTTCTGTTACGGTTTTCTTTTGATATTTTTCTCTTTTCCTCTTCTTTCCCCCATCCCCTGCCAACACTTTCTTCTATTTTTTCCCATCCGCTGTTTTATGAGACGTTAGCTGTTTTGAAGTGATTTGTTTTGTGTTGCCTTTTGGGGAGCAGAGCGGACCGAACGCAGGCCTTCCTGTGCTCAGTCCCTAATGGGACTCTGTTCCTCAATTTCTGCTGTTGGGGCTACATTTCCATTTTGCATGGGTCAAGAGTAAAAATGAATGTCTAAGTCAGGCTCAGACTTGATATCTCTATGGCCAGAGTTTGGCCAAACTGATATCTGGATAATTTCCGAAAATAAGCCTTTTTATCCTGCTTGCTAATTCACGCCATGCAGATTGCTGGCTCATCATAAAATGGCTCTTTTACCATGCATGAGGCCCACAGTGAGCAGAAGAGCCATGAACCAAATCTGTTAAAATCGGCTCCCAGCAGCACCGTAAAGAAGAGGATAAAAAGGCAGAAAGTAAGGTTTCGGATCTTCGAGTCACAGTGAAGCTGTTCAGTGGCGTGTGTAGGCTGAGCCTATTCCTTATTAACTGGTAAGTTGTTTCTCACAGTAAAGGACTATTTCATCAGCCTGAAAATAAGTAAACGAATAACATGCCTTTCAATGGGGCTGTGTGCAGCGGCAGTAGCAGGTGTGGGAGCGTGTTCTTCTCAAATGGGAGCGAGCACCAGCGAGCACAGAGACGAGTCTCGGGAACCCAAAAACCCAAATGCAAATACGAAGAGTGCACATTCTCCCCCCCCCGCCCCCCGGGATCCCTATGCCCCCACGTGCACGTCCGCATCATAAAAGACTCTGTCGCAATCATACGACAATTAAAACTTACCATTGTTGTAAGAGCGAAAATTTCCTACAAATTTTATGTATTCATAAGTCGGAAATTCCTTTGGGTTCAAGCTGCCTCTGAGGAGATGGCAATAAAACTCTAAATCGTTGTCAGCTGGGCCGTTAAAGAAAGAAGGAGAGAGAGGGAACGTGAGGATTGCACAGACTCTCAACAAGCAGCGGCGCTGTGAAAACTCTCACGGGATCTAGTCCACACACGGCCCGGACGCCTCTCTCATTACCGCTGACTCTCAGACCTGCTTTCTAACCTTTGCGGCACGAGGCTTTCTTTGCACAGTTCATAGATAGGTTGCATTGCATACTTGGACCCAATTAGTCTTAATTTGCTCACAGATGTCTGTGGTTGGTGGTGTCGGCATTGATTAGTTCCGGTTGTTTTCATAGGGTATATTAAAATAAAGCTGCTCGTATAGGGCTGCTCCTTTTAATTCAATCTTTTTGCTTTGCTTGGAAGT